GGTTAGGTTAGGTTAGAGAAGTGTTCATAAACTGTAAAAAAAAATATTGTTTTTAATTATTATTTCTCCTGGGGGACTTTTGTCCTAGGGGGCTTTTATCCTAGAGGGTTTTTGTCCTACACTCCCTTAAGACACATTTACCTTTTGGAGGTACCCCTTAAGGTACATTTACCCCTTGGAGGTACCCCTTAAGGTACATTTACCCCTTGGAGGTACCCCTTAAGGTACATTTACCCCTTGGAGGTACCCCTTAAGGTACATTTACCCCTTGGAGGTACCCCTTAAGGTACATTTACCCCTTGGAGGTACCTCTATGGTCATTAAACCTGAGTTGTTGCTCCCTGACGTCCATTTAACCTGACCATTACCTCGCGTGGTCCACTTACCCTTAAGTTATCCACCCAGCGTGCTGCACCACGTCCCACCAAGGCTGTACTTACACCTTCCTTCTTTCTTCCCTTCCCTCCCTCCCTTCTCTCTCTCTATTTCCCCTTCTCTCCTTCCGTTCCCCCTTCGCTCTCCCTTTCTTTCATCTCTCTCCCTTCCTTCTTGCCCTTCCCCCCTACACACGACTGATCAATGTTACAGACATCCATTCACCCGTCGTTGGCCCAGCACCTGCTGTTTAGGAAAAACCCACTCGCATGGGGGAATAATGTGTGCTGATTGGTCCCTGCCTACTAATTCGTCGACTGGTGTTTCTTCCACACTAAGTAACCACATAACCTAACCTAATGTAATTTAACTTACCCTAACCTAATCTAACTTAACCTAACCTAGCAGATGGAAACATTGGCGAGAGAATTTAATTAATCAGAATTTGGGCGTGAGGAATGATTCACGAGAATTTGGACACTAAAAGTTTCCAGCATTAAATTGGGCTCATAAAATTACCTGTCGCACAGTACAAGGATTAGGATTAGGCTATTTTATGGCGCGAAAAGTTTCTTACCCACGAAACTATTTTTTGGCGCGAAAAGTTTTACCCACGAGGCTATATTATTTTTGGCGTGAAAATCTGAACACAAAATTTACACCACTAGACTTTTCCATCGTAACTCTTCAGTTGATCTACCACCAAACGCCCTGAATGTGGTGGTATGCGCGTATAACACAGTACAGTATACTCACGCTCACTACCTGTAATATACTGACCTAGGTAATGACTAGTATAAAGTTCACTCTTGTTATCAGTGTTCGTGTGTCTGGTAATGAGTTATAGTACGTAATGAGTGGATGAGGCCGAGTATTGTCTAAAGTGCGTTATAAATTCACACCTCTCAAGGTCATTGTATATAACTCCAACAATAACGACTTTAGTAGAAGTAATAATAATAATAACAATGATAACACCAATAATAATAATAATAATAACAATAATAATAATAATCATAGAGACAGTTATCAGTGATTCTCAAAGGTTTGCTTTAAAATTCCTACTACACTTTATATGACTGACGACAGAGTTATATAAATAGATAGATTTATATGACTGTTAGAGTAGTTGGTGGCTTCACTGACAATATCTAGATTAAAATACGATAAACATGAATAATTGAGATGGGGGAAGGGGGAGCCATGAGAGAGAGAGAGAGAGAGAGAGAGAGAGAGAGAGAGTTAATGTACAATATATCATACTCGATCAATAATAACTGTAGAGGGAAAGTGTGTGTGTGTGTGTCAGAGAGAGACAACCACGCACACGACCGCCCCCGAGTTGCGTGATGACAAAATTACACTTTAAATCAACACTGGAAATTACAGAAACGCAGAACGATTACTTACACGAACACACACACACACACACAGTATATACACACACACACATGGTAAGTGAGGTGATGATGAATGGTGAACTTGTCTGATCTTGTTAGTCAAGGTTCTTGGTTGGTGACCCTGAGTGATGATAATACAACTGTTTGTTTACCTCACGACACGCACTCCCACCCTCCCCCACCCTTCCTTCGTTCCTTCTCTTCCCTCCCAGTCGCCCCCCCTTCCTTCGTTTTCTTCCCTCCCTTCCCTTCCTTCCTTCGTTTTCTTCCCTCCCTTCCCTTCCTTCTCTCCCTCTTCCTTTCTTCCATCTCACTCTTCCCTTCCTTCTTTCTTTCCTTCCTTCCCTCCCTTCCTCTATCTCTCCCTTCTTTCATTTCGTCTCTCCCTCCATCTCCTTCCTTCTGAGAGCTAGAAGAGAGACCTTGTTTTAACTCATAACTCTCACTACGGCATTGTTGTATTTCGTTAACAAAGAAGAAACAATTACGATACGTTACGGTGAATTATTTGAGATATTCCAATCATAGGAGAACGGCACTGCAGTAATTATATTGTTTATACGTGCGTAGCCTAACTTATTATTAGGATGGCTGGAACAATGTGTATCTACCCGTGTCCAGCTGTTGTGTGTGTGTAATAATAATAATAATAATAATAATAATAATAATAATAATAATAATAATAATAATAATAATTAACGGTTTATTGAAAAAGTTCGGCAGCCCGAAGACTGAAACTATACATTAGACAAAATGACTTATTACAGACAAAGACATGGGGCGGGGGGGGGTTAACAAAAGTTTTCATTAGAGAAAGGATAAGGAACACACAGTGAACATACAGATTAATGTTTACAGTGGAGGTCACGTAGGTCACATGCGCTAAGGTGTTGAACAGCAAACACGTGGTGTAGTAGTTCCCTCACAGATGGTATTATGAGGAACCTCACATGATGCTGTAGCAACTCATTCACTAGGTGGTGTACAGTGAGGTGTGGTCCCAGGCCTCCCTATCGTGGACGGTTTAACGCATCGCTGCTTGTTGTTGAGTCTCACTGGGTACCTGGGACCTCACTGTGTGAAGGTTAACTTGGGTATGACTCTCAGCTGTTACGTTGTTTTCACTGTTTAACACTGGTTCCATTCCTTCCCTAAATGAAATTGTAACTTCTGGCGAGAACTTGCTAATCTTCCGGTGGAGAGGAGAGGTTTAGGGGAGGGAGTTGGGGCAACAATTGCCCTGGCCACTGCCTGAGCAGCGCCAGTTACGTCTTGACCCTCGGTGGTGAAGGATGTTGTGTTGTTAAAACAGTCATGTTACCTAGAATATTTCAGCCTGAGAGAGAGTCGTGTTAACTCCCCCTTCACAATGGGTTAGGTTAGGTTAAGGTCTCTCTCTGGTATATTGTATTAAATGAAATGGGGTAAGGTGATGACTGTGGTGATGACTGGGAAGATGGCTGTGGTGATGACTGTAGTGATGGTTGGGGTGATGGTTGGGGTGATGACTGGGGTGATGGCTGTGGTGATGGTTGGGGTGATGACTGGGGTGATGGCTGTAGTGATGGTTGGGGTGATGGCTGTGGTGATGGTTGGGGTGATGACTGGGGTGATGGCTGTGGTGATGGTTGGGGTGATGACTGGGGTGATGGCTGGGGTGATGATGACTGGGGTGATGGCTGTAGTGATGGTTGGGGTGATGGTTGGGGTGATGACTGGGGTGATGGTGTGGGAAGGTTCGTGTTTTAGGCGATAAAGTCATATTGATCTACAAGCAGCCATGACCAATCTTGATAATAATAGACTGGTGAGGGAGGGTACAGTTAGGTGGCTGGTGAGGGAGGGTACAGTTAGGGTGGCTGGGTGGCTGGTGAGGGAGGGTACAGTTAGGTGGCTGGTGAGGGAGGGTACAGTTAGGTGGCTGGTGAGGGAGGGTACAGTTAGGGTGGCTGGTGAGGAGGGTACAGTTAGGTGGCTGGTGAGGGAGGGTACAGTTAGGGTGGCTGGTGAGGGGAGGGTGCAGTTAGGGGTGGCTGGTGAGGGGAGGGTACAGTTAGGGGGTGGCTGGTGAGGGAGGGCACAGTTAGGGGTGGCTGGTGAGGGAGGGTACAGTTAGGGGTGGCTAAGAGGAGGGCACAGTTAGGGGTGGCTGGGTGAGGGAGGCACAGCAGGGGTGGCTGGTGAGGGAGGGTGCATGGAAGTTAGGGGGTGGCTGGTGAGGGAGGGTACAGTTAGGGGTGGGCTGGGTGAGGGAGGGCACAGTTAGGGGGTGGCTGGTGAGGGAGGGTACAGTTAGGTGGGCTGGTGAGGAGGGTACAGTTAGGTGGCTGGGTGAGGGAGGCACAGTTAGGGGTGGCTGGTGAGGGAGGGTACAGTTAGGTGGCTGGTGAGGGAGGGTACAGTTAGGGTGGCTGGTGAGGGAGGGTACAGTTAGGTGGCTGGTGAGGGAGGGTACAGTTAGGTGGCTGGTGAGGGAGGGTACAGTTAGGTGGCTGGTGAGGGAGGGTACAGTTAATCTAACCTAATTTAACCTGACTTTTCCCAGCTTAATCAGTCCAAGTTACCTAATATAACTAAACTTAATATAACCTTCTCTCATCTGACAAACCTACTATGTTAAATTAATCCAAATCTTAGATAACTTAAGGTATCCCAAGAACCTAACCTAACCAAACCCAACTTTAGTTATCCTAACTTTAATTTTATATAACCTTATCAACAAACATAATTTAAACTGACCTAAATAAACGTCTCTTAATCTAAACCAGAGCCCAATCTAATTTAACCTGACGTAAATTAACGTAACCAAATGTAACGTGCGTATAATGAGACTAACACACCATGGCCCTTGTCTGTGGTATGTTAATCTATAATATAATTCTTTCGTTAATCACGTCTTTGACACGCACTCAAAATTACCTCCCAAAATTCCTTCCACTTCCTGACTGACCATTGTCGTGATATCCTCGTACCGCCTCACTTGTTTATCTCTCTCTCTCATATTACCTTGAGCATTGATTATGTATTGTTAGGTTAGTGAGGTAAAGTTAGCATTTAAATAAAGTTATGTTAGGTTAGATTAGGTTAAATTAGGTTCGGTTAGGTAAGGTTATAAATCAGAATAAGACTGGTCATACATATTTATAAACTCCTGTCAGAAATCAGTTTGTGTCACTTAGGGATAATAATATGTAGCATTAAAGTGTTATACTATACTGTACTTACCTCTTGGGGGGTAAAAGAGGTGGGTCACTCGGTCGACAAGCTGTGGTAGAAGCCTCGTCCCTTGACTCGTATTGGTAGACGGGTAACATGTGACCTGTCTACTCTCACACACTCAACTCTCACCAGTGTTCACTCTTGCTTGCATGTCCTCGATGTTGTTAAGTTTGGTTATACTGGAATACGTTAGGTTAGGTTAGGCTGGAGTGAGTTAGGTAAGTTAGTCTGGAGTGAGCTAGGTTAGGTTAGGCTGGAGTGAGCTAGGTTAAGTTAAGTTAGGCTGGAGTGAGTTAGGTTAAGTTAAGTTAAGGTAGGATAGGTTAGGTTGTGTTAAAATAAAATAGATAAGGTTAGGTTAACTTAAATTGGGTTAGTTTTGGATGAGCTAGAATAAGTTAGGTTAAATTTGTTTGGTTAAGGTTCAAATAACTAGAGATGCTTAAGATTAACTAAATTGGGGGATAAACAATAGAATGAGGCCAGAATCACCGAATCAGTTTAGGTTAAGATAAGCTCACTTAACCTAACATAACCTAACTTAACCGAACCTAACCTAATCTAACTTAACCGAACCTAACTTAACCGAACCTAACTTAACCGAACCTAAATCAAAATGGGTTGGTTACGATGAGGTTATGTAAAGTTGGACTGGCTTGTTAGGATGAACTTGAATTGACCAATTTAAAATTAGATTGAGTTAGGTTATTTTGGACTAATAGATTGGGTTAGGTTAGGTTGGATTAGGTTAGGTTGGATTAGCTTATCCTGATTAAAGTGAGGTTAGGCTGGATTGGATTGGGTTAAACTAGGTTAGTTTCATTAAGTTAAGTTAGATTTATAATAAGTTAGGTTGTGGTTGGGTTAGGTTAGGTTTAAGCTAGGTTATGTTATATTAGGTTAGGTTAGTCATAAGTTCGGTTGGATTAAGTTACAGTAAGTTTGGCTAAATTAGATTAAATTAGGCAAAGTTAGGTTAAAGGAATTTAGGTTAACTTAGGTTTTGTCACACTTATGATCACAACACAACCAGGGAAGGTCCTCAACGCTGGGCACCATTATCTTGACACACGGGTCCACTGCCACACACATGTTGTTAAAAATAAGTACAGTCCGCTTAACTGTTCTCGTAGATATTATGTTTGATATGTTTTGATCATAACACCAAATATTACCGGACACAACATGAGTCACAAGTATCGCCGGAAACATTCGACTATCACTGGACACAACACTAATAGAGAGTATCACCGGACACAACACTAGGCTATCACCGGACACGAGTCGGAACACTAATAGAGAGTATCACCGGACACAACACTAGGCTATCACCGGACACGAGTCGGAACACTAATAGAGAGTATCACCGGACACAACACTAGGCTATCACCGGACACGAGTCGGAACACTAATAGAGAGTATCACCGGACACAACACTAGGCTATCACCGGACACGAGTCGGAACACTAATAGAGAGTATCACCGGACACAACACTAGGCTATCACCGGACACGAGTCGGAACACTAATAGAGAGTATCACCGACACAACACTAGCTATCACCGGACACGAGTCGGAACACTAATAGAGAGTATCACCGGACACAACACTAGGCTATCACCGGACACGAGTCGGAACACTAATAGAGAGTATCACCGGACACAACACTAGGCTATCACCGGACACGAGTCGGAACACTAATAGAGAGTATCACCGGACACAACACTAGGCTATCACCGGACACGAGTCGGAACACTAATAGAGAGTATCACCGGACACAACACTAGGCTATCACCGGACACGAGTCGGAACACTAATAGAGAGTATCACCGGACATAATAATGACTAACAAAACAAGAAGAGGAAGTAATTGGTGTTTATGTGAACGTGAGGAGCGAGACAGCGGCCACCCGCCCACCTCACACTCCCTGGCAGGACTGACACTGGGAGGGCGGCGGCGGCTTCACCTACACTTAACATTCCAGGATCATTGTAGAGTGGTAGTGATGTTCTCAGTAGCCAGGGTGGTGTACCTGGTGAGCTCATGACTGGCTGGACGGTCTGGAATTATGTTAAGTATTGGAAAGTATTGACGGCAGCCGCTATTGTTTATTTCATCGATTGACTTGTGGTCGGTGGTGAAAACTCCACCATGAAATCTTTATAACATTTGTGGCCATCACGGTGTACTGTAGGTGTTTTGGTAGTCGGTCACTCATAAGTTGTTGAGAAATGGTATACAGTGGCGGTGGTAGAGGCAGTCTTTATTTTCATCCAAAACTATATCATACAAACTGTAAAACTTGTCGCCATCACCATGTTGTAACAGCTAAGGTCCCAAGTTATTGTTTATAGTTGTTAAATCACGTAATATTTCCCCAAAGTTTGAAGGAAAAATTTTAGTGAAATTACAATTCACCAGAACCCATCTACTGTTAATGATAAACTGCATCCAATATGGGTGACGCTGACTTGAGAATTATTTAGTTTATGACACATAATAACACACTGTGACACATAATAACACACTGTCTGTGACACATAATAACACACTGTCTGTGACTCATAAGAACACACTGTGACACATATAGTAACCGTAGAATTCATGCCTCCACTCAACCTGATATAAGCTGTATATTAGTGGGACTTTAAAGTTATTGTGAACGACATTAGCCAGCGTTAGGCTACAGTACCTGTAGCGACTACAATACATCAGTTTGTATTTTCTCTCCCATGATGGCTAAACTTCTCTCCATTACTGTACTCTCATACAATAATCAGATAATACCTACATTTCCTTGATCATACATAGGAATTAGATTAGCGTTGTGTTAGGTTAGATTTGGTTTGGTTTGGTTTGGCTAAATTAGGAAAGGTTGTTTGGTTATGTTTGGTTAGATTAGATTCGGTTATTTTAAGTTAGCTTATATTAAATTTGGTTATCATTAGGTTGGATTAAATTAGGTTAGCGTTAAGTTAGACCAATCTTAAGGTAAAATATACTAAGGCACTAACATTCAGGTGATCCAAATATCTCTCACCAAAACATTATTGTACCAGATCTTACATAGTTAAATCTGTACCAGTAAAAGGTTATCATAAAGCATAATATTACCGCCTACAAGGTCGCTATTATCAACCTTCTTATATTAACACTCAGTTCCTCGCCTCTGTCATCGTTACCACTGTTCTTTGTCATTATTGTGTGTCAGTCTGTCATGACAAGTGGCCATTAAAAGTGTCAGGAGAGGGAGGTGTACATGACAGGAGGGTGTGTGACGGGGGAATCTGACAGTGGGTACATGACAGGAGGGTGTGTGATGGGGAATCTGACAGTGGGGTACATGGACAGGACGGTGTGTGACGGGGACCCTGACAATGGGTACATGACAGGAGGGTGTGTGTGGACGGGGAATCTGACAGTGGGCATGACAGGAGGGTGTGGACGGGGAACCTGACAGTGGGTACATGACAGGAGGGTGTGTGACGGGGGAATCTGACAATGGGTACATGACAGGAGGGTGTGGTGACGGGGGAATCTGGACAATGGGTACATGACAGGAGGGTGTGAGGATGGGGGAATCTACAGTGGGGCATGACAGGAGGGAGAGGTGTGACGGGGAATCTGACAGGGTACATGACAGTGAGTGTGACGGGGAATCTGACAATGGGTACATGACAGGAGGGTGTGTGACGGGGGGAATCTGACAATGGGTACATGACAGGGAGGGTGTGTGACGGGGAATCTGACAATGGGCATGACAGGAGGGTGTGTGACGGGGGAATCTGACAGTGGGTGAAGGATGACAGAGTGGTGTGTGACGGGGAACCTGGACAGTGGAAACATGACAGGAGGGTGTGTGATGGGGGAATCTGACAGTGGGTACATGACAGGAGGGTGTGTGACGGGGGAATCTGACAGTGGGTACATGACAGGAGGGTGTGTGACGGGGGAATCTGACAGTGGGTACATGACAGGGAAAGAGGTACGTACAGTCCCCTTCACTAGTGCGTTTTCAGGAGCTCGTCAGGTTTTGTGCAGTGTGGCAGCCCTGTGTTTGTTTACATTCGACAGAAGGAAACTGGCAAAGTAAACATATTATGGAATCAAAGTGAAACAATATTAAACAATATCAAAATTATTTGTGTAATGTTTATATGACGAGCCCCTGTAAACGTAGTAGTGAAGAGGACTGCAGTATATGACAGGGGGTACATGACAGGGGGTTCATGACAGGGGGTACATGACAGGGGGTACATTTCCTGTCACTAACTTAGATAAATAGATTGATACATATTCAGTAAAGTAGCCATAAAGGTTTGCATTGATCAGAAGGTATAGTATACAGTTCAGCCAGTATATAGACAATACAGGTATACAGTTCAGCATGTACAGGCCCGTCGTTTAGGGGGGGGCGAACAGGGGCGACCGCCCGGGGCCCCGCGCGTGTGGGGGCCCCGCGGGGCCCAGCACTAGACCCAGTGACCTCGGACACATTACCTGTTGACTGGTTAATCTGACCTGACGGCTTACGCCACCATCGCAACCGTGACCTTACCATCCATAGCGACAGTCCCGTGGGGGTTGGTGGGGGTGGGTTCCTCTGACCGCATAATCTGGCACTAGTGTGGGGCCCCGCAGTGGCTGAGTTGCCCCGGGCCCCTCACCCTCCTAGGGACGGCCCTGCATATAGACGATACAGGTATACAGTTCAACATGTATACAGACAATACACAGGTATACGCTTGACCCAGCCAGCAGTGTAGCGGCGGCCAATGGTATACTGTAAGTGAGGTCTGGAGTGAGCACTTGGGCAGCCACAGTCGTTAAGTGTATCGATTGTCGGTACCGAGGTGTGTGTGTGTAGCCACTGACCAGGCAACAGTTCTCTCTCTCTCTAAAGTCGCCACCCTAGTGATGACGTCAGTAAAACACGCGATATCATTGGTCATCATGGCTCGCGTATGACGTCACTGTTATAACGTACACACACGTCAAAACACGCCGTATCATTGGTCATCGTGGCTCGCGTATGACGTCACTGTTATAACGTACACACACGTCAAAACACGCCGTATCATTGGTCATCGTGGCTCGCGTATGACGTCACTGTTATAACGTACACACACGTCAAAACACGCCGTATCATTGGTCATCGTGGCTCGGGTGTGACGTCACCGTTATAACGTAGCGTTGCCCACCACCTAGGATAACATTATATACGGTATACAGTAGGCCTATAGGTTCTCCTGGTACAATATGTTTGACCTAATTTAACTTCCACTATTAATTAAAATTAAAATCTCATTTGGTTGGCAACAGCGCAAATATAATTATAGTCAATAATTAAGAGGAACGGATAATTATCTGGTAATTAAGGAACATAACATAAAATAATGTTAAACTGGATTAATGAATTGAATTATTAAATCTGGGAGAGAAGTTCATTATATACGTAGTGTTATTATTAGTACAGTACGTATTGTTTATAATACGACACACACCATCATGTAAGGTCGACCACACTTAGTAATTTTCGGCTTTATGACCCATAAACTATCTCCATCAAAGATTTGGCTTGACTTATGTCATTCTGGCACACGAGCCCGCAACACTGTGCAACCAGATCACCTGAAGAATCACCACCTCAGCTTATTTCACCTAACGATTAACCACCCTAACTTAACCTAACCTAAAGATGAACCACCTTAAAATTATTTGGGGGAATGAAGTTAGGTTAGGTTAGGTTAATCGTCAGGTAAAATACCCTCGGGTGGTGATTCTTTAGGTGATCTCTCACATCGCCAATTTGGTACAATCTCACATCACCATTTAAGGGTTAGCAGTTATAAGACGGTGGACACGTAGGGTCAATACCTGAGTGGCGGGAAGCCCTATATTCACACACACACACACGGGACGACCTGACATGCAACCTGTCCGAGGCGCTCAAACACCTGCCGGGCACTGGTCACCTTCACTGCTAGTAGATGAACACTAGTAAAGTTCAATACTAGCAGCTGAACACAAGTAAAGTTCAATGCTAATACCTGAACACAAGTAAAGTTCAATACTAATAGCTGAACACTGGTAATGCTCACAACTAGCAGCTGAACACTGATTATGTTCACTACTAGTAGCTAAACTCTAGTAAAGTTCAATACGAATAGCTGAACGCAAGTAAAGTTCAATACTAATAGTTGAACACTAGTAAAGTTCAATACTAATAGCTGAACACTAGTAAAGTTCAATACATTTATCTGAACACTGGTAATGCTCACTACTAGCAGCTGAACACTGATAATGTTTACTACAGGAAGATCTAAAAAAAAATTTCGAATGGTCTGAAAAATGGCAGATGAAATTCAATGTGGACAAATGTAAAGTACTCAGTATAGATGTAAACAGGGAAACCAGATACCAGATGAACAACGATGCCATAGAGAAATCCGACTGCGAGAGAGATTTAGGAGTTATGATAAGTAGGAACCTTAAGCCAAGTAAACAATGTGTTTTTGCTCGTAACAAGGCTAATAAAGTACTTGGGTTCATACAAAGGAGTGTTAGTTACAAGACTAGCGAGGTCATCTTAAAACTATATCTTGCGCTTGTGAGACCACACCTGGATTGCGCAGTTCAGTTCTGGTCACCGTATTACAGAATGGATATAGAATCATTGGAAAGAATTCAGAGGAGAATGACAAGACTAATCCCGGGCATTAGGAACCTTGAGTATAGAGACAGGTTAAAGCATCTTAATTTGCACTCCCTCGAGAGACGTAGAGCGAGGGGCGACATGATAGAGGTGTATATATGTAAATCAGGGCTAAACAAAGGGGACATTACAAAGGTACTCAAACTTTCCAACCAGGAGCGAACTCGCATCAATGGTTTTAAATTTGACAAATTTAGATTTAGGCGCGAAATAGGTAAACACTGGTTTGGAAATAGAGTAGTGGATGACTGGAACAAGTTACCAAACATCATCATTAACTCGAATACGCTGGATAGCTTCAAACATAGGTTGGAAGGATATATGAGCAATAGGGGCTGGGTGTAAATGGGACTTCCCAGTATGGGCCAAGAGGCCCGTTGCAGTTTCCTCCATTCTTATGTTCGTATGTACTAGTAGCTGAACACTGGTAATGTTCACTACAAGTAGCTGAACACTGGTAATGTTCACTACTAGCAGCTGAACACTGATAATGTTCACTACTAGTAGCTGAACACTAGTAATGTTCACTACTAGTAGCTGAACACTGGTAATGTTCACTACTAGCTGCTGAACACTGGTAATGTTCACTACTAGCAGCTGAACACTGGTAATGTTCACTACTAGTAGCTGAACACTGGTAATGTTCACTACTAACTGCTGAACACTGGTAATGTTCACTACTAGCAGCTGAACACTGGTAATGTTCACTACTAGTAGCTGAACACTGGTAATGTTCACTACTAACTGCTGAACACTGGTAATGTTCACTACTAGCAGCTGAACACTGGTAATGTTCACTACTAGTAGCTGAACACTGGTAATGTTCACTACTAACTGCTGAACACTGGTAATGTTTACTACTAGTAGCTGAACACTGGTAATGTTCACTACTAGCAGCTGAACACTGGTAATGTTCACTACTAGTACATACTCTTGGTATCCCGAAGCGGCATCTCACTTTACTAACATAAGTACCAATAAGTGGAACAAGGTAAAGTATGAAACATGACACAAAGCCTCAACAAATCAAGTGAAATTCTCGGAAAAATCTCACCTGTTCAGAGGCCATTCTCAGCGAGCTGTTGATTGGCGCCAAATTCTGTGTCATTACCAGTGTGTCCATGCAACCCCAGTTTATTATACAATGGATCTTTGGCCCTCTGACCACGTACTTGTCATTCTTTATGCATAAAATAGATAATCTCAATTTTGTAGTTTGATGATGAAGTAAAGAATGGTTGAATGTCGTGAAGATATTGGTTAGCATGTAAGAAAATGAAGTAACTTATTGCATATAGTGGTTCATGGCGGCTCCAGTCTTGTTGTCTGGTTCAAGTACAATATATAAATATATAAATAAATAAATTATATATATATATATATATATATATATATATATATATATATATATATATATATATATAAAAACAAAAGAAGTATGTCTGTGTGTTTGTTTGTTTGTGTGTTCACGAGAATCTCGGAAACTACTTTACCGATCTGTAGATGATGATGGTGTTATATGTAGTGATGATGGATGGTGTTATATGTAGTGATGATGGATGGTGTTATATGTAGTGATGATGGTGTGTTATATGTAGTGATGATGGGTGGTGTTATATGTCGTGATGATGGGTGGTGTTATATGTAGTGATGATGGATGTGGTGTTATATGTAGTGATGATGGGTGGTGTTATATGTAGTGATGATGGGTGGTGTTATATGTAGTGATGATGGGTGGTGTTATATGTAGTGATGATGGGTAGTGTTATATGTCGTGATGATGGATGGTGTTATATGTAGTGATGATGGGTGGTGTTATATGTAGTGATGATGGGTAGTGTTATATGTCGTGATGATGGATGGTGTTATATGTAGTGATGATGGGTGGTGTTATATGTAGTGATGATGGATGGTGTTATATGTAGTGATGATGGATGGTGTTATATGTAGTGATGATGGATGGTGTTATACAGTATGTAGTGATGATGGATGGTGTTATATGGAGTGATAATGGGTGGTGTTATATGTAGTGATGATTAGACAATAAAATAATAACAGTTTAATGCTAAAGAAAATATACTTTGCCGTACCGTTGTAGTGAAAAACATGGTGGAACTTACATACACCGTTAATGAACTATTGATGGAAGAAGAAGTTTTGGGGACTGAACAGTGAGATAATGTGGAACCTCCCGGAGGGTGGCGGCCTACCATGGCCTAGCGAATGAGCCACCCGGAGGGAGGCGTTTCTGCAAGTATATATATAAACTGGTCAGGTAGCCAGATAGAGTTTTAACTGAGAACTGGTCTACCATTCGGCTCGGCGACCGGCTAGCGAAGCTTACTAGGGGTGATGACAAATGTAAAATATAAAGTTATTCCTTAAAACAGAAAACGGGAAAAACTTTATTAAAAAACTAATAATGACGAACTATCTTAGTTATTCATTTGTCATTACAACTGGATTCCATGATGACTGATGAGGATTGAGGATAACTTGGCCGTTATTTTGTTGGTTGAAAAATCACATTTGTAATTTATGTCCACGATCTGAGTCTGTTAATCTAAGCTTCAGGGTTCTATAATGTGTGTTAATTGAGCATATTGTCGAGTTTTGTTTGGACAACATAAGTTTTCTTGCCTGTAATTATATCTATAAAGGAATTCTTCCGTCAGGGGTGTCCAAGGTTCTTAGCATCGCTGACAGGGTTCTTTCTGGTGGCTGGACTTGGTTTTGTTGTGTGTGGTGGTCGTCCCCAGCATAGTGACAGAGTTCTTCCAATCACCCTTGTCGCTGCGGTGTGAGCTCTGTGTTGGCGGCCCTACTGTAGGTTCTTGTGGTCAACTTTTTTGTGAGTGATCTTGTTAACAGTACCGTGGTCAAGGCAGTGAGGCGCTATACCTGTTGACGAGGAAACATTAACCAGGATGATGATGACAAAGACAGACGTATGGTTGTCAGGGAGAGAATTAACCAGGATGATGATGACAAAGACAGACGTATGGTTGTCAGGGAGAGAATTAACCAGGATGATGATGACAAAGACAGACGTATGGTTGTCAGGGAGAGAATTAACCAGGATGATGATGACAAAGACAGACGTATGGTTGTCAGGGAGAGAATTAACCAGGATGATGATGACAAAGACAGACGTATGGTTGTCACAATAAGGAAAGTTCTCAATATGAGTAAATTATTCCCAAGATACAAGACTGGATGTGTTACAGACTCTTTTAATGACTATATAGTACAAGAAAACATACAATTATATGTAAATTTAACCAAACCACACCAAACGTAACCTAAGATACACAGACCACTAACCATAAACCTCCGAGTTACAGCTGGGGATAAAGGTGTGAAAGCCACAGGTGGAGCAGAAGTTGTACCTGGCCTCGTCGGAGTAGGTACCGAGAGAGTCGTGACCACTGACCAACTTGAAGGAACTGTATGGTATGATGAACGACTTGACCTGCTGCAGCTGTGGGAGGTCAATACAGGTCATAATTCACAGGTCAACTTATGATAACTGTTTTATTTTTATTGTACAGACAGAGGGAACCAGACAAAGTGACACAGACAGAGAGATGACCGACCGCCCACGGGGATAACGAACCCATCAGTGGCCAAGAGGATAAAAGTAAAGTGGTGACATAACATTTGAACTAATGACGTCATCATAGGTAACAATTCTTCTCCTGGATAATTCCACTTTATTTCTCACGTTAAACGTTCATGATACCAAAAAAATCAGCACAATAAAGTCATCTGTGTCTTTTTTATTTTAAAAATAAAATCGTGGCTGGGAACATTAGAAACATATTTTGTTTTAATATCCATAAATTATTGTGAGGACTGAACACGTCCATCCTCGGTAAGTGACTGGTAATTGTGGATTGTTGAGGATTAAACCTACCAAATAAAATTATAGTGAAGGGCATAAGGTAAAGAAACGTAGGAATTTGTATTTATAATAAAAAAAATCACAAGAATTTCCCCCTTAAAGATGCCGCTATAAGGTGGATTGCTTGTGTTAGTCTGATTTATTATTCCCCGTGTGGCTTTTGATATAAATAGTCACAAGATAACAATAAGAGAACAAACATGTGACGAGGAAATATTTATCTATTACCGTGAAAACAGTAGAGTCAGGGCAGCCAACATGATTTATGGCTGCTAACACTTGTATTGCATCATTACTGCTACTTATTGTGTTGGGAATCTTATAATTAAACGCACTTACCTCGTATAGTATGTTTTAAAAATATAAAATAAAATATTTAGGAGTTATTATAAATGTACTAAGGTGATATAATATGCAGCGTAAAGGTGTGCATATACGCAAATTTTCCTCATAAGATCTGGAGTTTTATTTAGCTTTACAAACTTTGTATTAAAATGTAGCTACATCACGTAACTGTTTGGAGAAACATATTGACGTCAGCGAAAGATTTTCTCGTCAGAACTGAAAAGATTTCCGGGAATTTCTTCTTGGAAAAACCAATGTCATGGTAACACAAGATGGTCCTCAGCCGCCATTTAATACCTAATAAGGAATATTTAGGTTAGATTGTGTGTTTGTAATACCTGGTTATTTAACAACTCGTTGAGGTCTGTGATATATATTTAAACATATATATATATATATATATAAACCATGTCGATAAAATAATATAGTACAGAACGTTTTGTGAAAGTGTTTGGATGTTTGAGCCTCAACATGAGAAGGTTTAAAAAGATTAAAGGATTTAGATTCTGTTAATACGAAAGAATATAAGGTATCGTGATGCGTTTTTGTCTTCCTGATCAGCTTGAGCCTCGAGGTTCATTCCGTCTATAGCCAGAGGAGAACAAGATGGCGGCCGGAGCAATAGAGGTGATGAGTCCTCCCGCGAAGAAATACGGTAGTGTTGTCATCACTCTGGATAATGTCCTCATCCCTCCTGATAAGTTGTCCCCGAGTCCCTCCCAGCAGGATGGACTTGACTCCGAGATCGAGATGGACTTGAGGATCTTGGGATGTGAACTTATACAGACTGGCGGCATCTTGCTCAAGTTACCTCAGGTGAGTTGGGTCTTAATGGCTTCTCCTTCCTCCAGGGATTGTTTCTCCGCTTCACAACCTCTACTTTACTCACCTGGCTGACGGACGTAAGGGCGGTGTTGATGGTATAATATTCACTCAAAGGTTAAATACGGAAGTTATGTGTCAACTGTGGAGGAAGGTAATGGCGCTTATTGCTCCATTATTAACAATATTGCTTCATTCTCGCCCCTCGTTAATGACTCCTTTGTAGCGTTGATAATGGCGTGAGGTGGAGTAGTGGATGTTTGAAGCTAATACGGTTTTAATGGCGTTGGTTTTTTATGTTGTGAGGAATGTTTGTGGTGGTGACGGCGACCATTATGGCGCGCCACAAGGCCACGACGCCACTACTGTAGGTGCTACAGTAGCCACTAGGTAGACCCTTAACTTAGGCTACATGGTAATTATTTACGACTTTACAGCCGCAGATTTTTCATAGAAAATTAATTTAAAAAGAAATATATATTTTGCCTTAACTTGCAAAGTTCCTACTAACGCTATTTTACCGTGAGTGCGCACTGCTCTGAACAGTTAGACGTCCATAACCTGCGAACAACTTGAGAATGATGTAACTGGCATTTATTTGTTGCAGTATATATATATATATATATATATATATATATATATATATATATATATATATATACACAGACATACACACACACACACACACACACACACTAGCAGAAACGCTGCTCTCCGGGCGGCTCATTCGCTAGGCCATGGTAGGACGCCACCCTCCGAGAGGTTCCACATTATCTCACTGTTCAGTCCCCAAAACTTCTTCTTCCATCAATAGTTCATTAACGGTGTATGTAAGTTCCACCATTTTTTGCACTATAACGGTACGGCAAAGTATATTTTCTTTAGCATTAATCTGTTATTATTTTATTGTCTAATCATCACTACATATAACACCACCCATTATCACTACATATAACATCATCCATCATCACTACATACTGTATAACACCATCCATCATCACTACATATAACATCATCCATCATCACTACATACTGTATAACACCATCCATCATCACTACATATAACATCATCCATCATCACTACATATAACATCCACCATCATCATCACTATCACTACATATAACACCATCCATCATCACTACACACCACCATCATCACTACATATAACACCATTCATCACTACATATAACATCATCCATCATCACTACATATAACACCATCCATCATCACTACATATAACACATCCATCATCACTACATATAACATCATCCATCATCACCACATATAACACTATCCATCATCACTACATATAACACCATCCATCATCACTACATATAACACCATCCATCATCACTACATATAACACCATCCATCATCACTACATATAACACCATCCATCATCACTACATATAACACCATCCATCATCACTACATATAACACCATCCATCATCACTACATATAACACCATCCATCATCACCACATATAACACCATCCATCATCACTACATATAACACCATCCATCATCACTACATATAACACCATCCTTCATCACTACATATAACATCATCCTTCATCACTACATATAACACCATCCATCATCACTACATATAACACCATCCATCATCACTACATATAACATCATCCTTCATCACTACATATAACACCATCCTTCATCACTACATATAACATCATCCTTCATCACTACATATAACACCATCCATCATCACTACATATAACACCATCCTTCATCACTACATATAACATCATCCTTCATCACTACATATAACATCATCCTTCATCACTACATATAACACCATCCATCATCACTACATATAACACCATCCTTCATCACTACATATAACATCATCCATCATCACTACATATAACATCATCCTTCATCACTACATATAACATCATCCTTCATCACTACATATAACACCATCCATCATCACTACAGATAACACCATCCATCATCACTACATATAACACCATCCATCATCACTACATATAACACCATCCATCATCACTACATATAACACCATCCATCATCACTACATATAACACCATCCTTCATCACTACATATAACACCATCCTTCATCACTACATATAACACCATCCTTCATCATCACTACATATAACACCATCCATCATCACATATAACACCATCACATACATAACACCATCCATCATCACTACATATAACACCATCCATCATCACTACATATAACACCACCCATCATCACTACATATAACACATCCATCATCACTACATATAACACCATCCCATCATCATACATATAACACCATCCATCATCACTACATATAACACCATCCATCATCACTACATATAACACCATCCATCATCACTACATATAACACCATCCATCATCACTTATAACACCATCCTTCATCACTACATATAACACCACCCATCATCACTACATATAACACCATCCATCATCACTACATATAACACCATCCATCATCACTACATATAACACCACCCATCATCACTACATATAACATCATCCTTCATCACTTCATATAACACCATCCATCATCACTACATATAACACCACCATCATCACTACAGATAACACCATCCATCATCACTACATATAACACCATCCATCATCACTACATATAACACCATCCATCATCACTACATATAACACCATCCATCATCACTACATATAACACCATCCTTCATCACTACATATAACACCATCCATCATCACTACAGATCGGTAGAGAAGTTTCCGAGATTCTCGTGCGGACACACACAAACAAACACAGTTCTTTGTTTTATACAGATAGATATATATATACTGTATATGGCACTATTGTGGATGCGGTACAACGAAGTACCCAAAAGTATATTAAATCAGGGTAAAATCTTAACGAATATATGTTTTACATCAATAAAACCTGATTAATAATGTTTTCATTGAAATGTAGTCAAAATAATGAAATAATAAACAACGAAAAACGCTAAATTCCAAAGAGTCACCTATCCAAAATGGAGATATAATTACCGATGTTTCTGTTACTTTGAGGTATCTAACAGCCGTAGGATTTACTTTTCGTTAGGTTAGGTTAGCGAAGTGCATCACGATGGATCTGAGTTATCTCCCTCGTTCACAAACTCTTTGGAATTTAGCGTTCGCCAATACTGAAAGTTTTCGCTGTTTATCATTTCATCTTACAAATTATTTTTACAAAATTACACTAAAAATATTATTAAACATGTTTTGTGTATGTATAACAGATATTCATTAAGATTTTACCCTTATTTGCTATGCTTTTGGGCACTTTTGGGTAATTCCTGGCTCCCTTGTGGATGGACTATATCTCTGTGAGGGTGAACAGACGTGAGAACTGTAAATATGATGTCAGTACTCCACGTGGGTGATGAATTTTCTACTAACAAAGCAGCTGAAGATGCTATCAGTCACAAAATGGTTCTTATTGGCGTCGGGATACAAAAACAGAAAAGGCTGCCCTTAAATGTGTCAATATCAACAACAACAATGAGCTGAAGTACTACGAGATCAAGTACGCTTGTCTCGAGGATGGGCTTAAGTACAAAACTAAGACAGGCCATTGAAGACAAGTGTCTTAGAATTACTGATTGCAACTAAAAAATTCCCAAGGTTTGTTTACTGACAACAAGTGAAATAACACCACCTAACATAACCTAGCATAACTTGAACACCTGCCGTGGGCGAACTTATAAGAGACGGGGAAGTGGCTGTGAAGTCCTCCATATTAGCAGGCTACCCTACAAACAAGTGAGGGAATACCGTCATGGCAAGGGTGGATAAAACGACTAATATAGACGACTTCGCCGCTGAGCTGTTATTTGTTTTGATGTTTATATTTTTATTATATTTTCATCAGTGAGTTCTAATATGATAGTCATATTGGGGAAAATTGCTTCATTTGGTAGATAATTCTGGTACTAGGCACACACACTACTTTGTCTTTCCTAGCATGATGCGGCAGTAAGCAGTCAGGCCGCACCTCGATTATGCGGTTCAGTTCTGGTGCCCTTATTATAGAATGGATATCAATTCACTAGAGTAGGTGCAGCGAAGAATGACGAAAATGATTCCGGGACTTAGAAACCTTCCATATCAGGATAGGTTAAAGAAACTTAAATTGCATTCCCTAGAAAGACGAAGAGTGCGGGGAGATATGATAGAAGTATTTAAGTGGGTGAAAGGAATCAATAAAGGGGATATAGATAAAGTTCTTATAATGTCCGAGCAGGATATGACTCGGAGCAACGGATTTAAGTTGGATAAGTTTAGGTTTAGGAGGGAGATAGGAAGGAACTGGTTCACAAACAGGGTGGTAGACGAGTGGAACAAGCTTAGCAACTTTGTAGTAAGTGCTGGAACTCTGGAAAGTTTCAAAAGGAGGCTGGATGGATTCATGGATGATAGAGTGGTAGTAACTCTCGACAGGAGCTGCCATGCACAGGCCAACCGGCCTATTGCACTCCTTTTTTTCTTATGTAATGGTCTCCGCTTGACGCCAGTCGCCAATGTATGTTTATGAGCCACGGATTAGGCGGCTGCTCTCACGTCCACAAAAACCGTAAAATTACACTACGTATATCATACTAGTACCATAAGTTTTTTCTGTCCTGAGGGTTGAGCCTCACAGCTAGGAAGTTAGGTGGGTTTGTTAGGTGAGGTCTTCTAACAATGCTTATGCTGCTTGTTTTTCTAATCAACTAAGGTTAGGTTAAGTTTAATTTAGAAGTAACAACGTTTTTAATACTTTTGCATAACTACGACAGTGTTCACAATAAAACAGTGAAATTGTGTTTTGTTTTGTTTTTTTGGTTTTTTTAAAATTCATTTTAAGAACATAAGAATGAAGGGAACTGTGGCAGGCCTTTTGGCCCATACTGGGCAGTCCCGTTTCACCCATCCCCTATCGCTCGTATATCCATCCAACCTATTAGTTCATATGTCCGTCTAATG